ATAATAATTATTATAATTTTAATATTCAAATTAAAATATTTGCATTCAAACATACACACACACACACACACACATAATTCATCTTGTAAAATTTTTATTAATATAAGATATAATAATAATAATATTGATATTAATCAAGTTAAAAATTTCTTTTTTTGATAATAAATTTTAAAAAAAAACATATAAAGTTATTAAATTTATAACTTTTGAAAGTTAAATTTAGGCTCCAATCAATTTTTTTCCCATTTTATTTAATTAATGATGGCGGTTAATTAAGTTAAACACTTTATTGTTTTAAAACAAAAATTTGATACTCTTTATCAAATTTAATAATTATTGTTTTTGTTTTTTATTAAATTTTAAAAGAAATATAGGTAAAGAATAATAATATTGTGTTTCTTACGTTTATTGTTATTTAATTAACAAAAAACTTGTAATAAATGAAATTATTTACTAACACAAACAAATTCAAATTTTTAAACCGTTCGAAATAACGGTACGATGACGTAACATTTTAAAGTGGCAGAAGAAAAAAGTATTACTGCTATTACGTTCTTTTCTACTTTATGGTTCAGTAATTTATAAAAATGTTAGGATTTTAATATTATTTATACTAAATCAATTTCTTTTAAGTGTTTATCAAAGTTTTTCTTCTCTTCTTTTCTTTTCTATTTCTTTAATGAAAAAATATTATTTAATATCGTTTAAATATTATCCGTCATAGCATTTAACAAAATGTTTTCAAGGAGTAGAATACTGGACTCGAAATAACCTCTTAAATCCGTAATTATTAATAATTTTTCTTATTTTATTTCTTAATTATGAATTTTTAATTGCTAGATATGTACTTTTTTTAATTAAAGGTAAATGTTAAACGTAAGAAGAATTAAAGGATTCTTTTAATTACTAATTAAAAATGGCATCAGTCAAAATTCCCAAACAAAAAGTCATTCTTTGTGGTGAATTTGGTGTTGGTAAAAGTTCAATTTTTCGTCGATACGCAACGAACACATTTGTAACTGCCGTTGATAGAAAATCTACTCTAGGATTAGATCATTTTGATAAAACTTATGCGGTAGACGGAAGAGAAATAAAAGTAAATTTTTTAAAATTCAACCTAACGTAAACAATTCAAAAATCTATAATGTTATGATTAGTATTAAATGAATTAATAAAATTTGTTTTTCCAGTTGCAACTTTGGGATACAGGAGGAATGGAAAGAGTGGCTTCGATTACTTCCAGTTATTATAAATTTGCTGAAGCTGCTATATTAGTTTTCGCCTTAGATAATGCTTCTTCTTTTCACATACTGTCACAACATTTATTAGACATTGTAACATATGCAGAAAATGCTAAAATATTTCTTTGCGGTAATAAGTCTGATCTAATTAGTCCTGTACCTCAGATTAGCGATAACGATATCGAGAGTTTTTGGTAAGTTAAAATTATCAAAATAAAATTTAAAAAAAAAAAAATGAATTTTACTTATCGAATAATACTAACAGGTAATGTTTTCATTTTTATTTTTCCAGTGAACAATGTCATAATTTAATAAGTGGAGTGTATAAAACTTCATGTAAAACAGCAGAGGGAATAGATGAAATGTTTTCCGATATTGCACAACAACTTGTCGAAAGCAACAAATCTCGAATTGATTTGAAAAATTTAGATGCAGACTCGTTTAAAGTTACACCAATCGAAGATAATCCAGAACCTGCTTGCTTATGCTAGTTTTTTTTGCAAAACTTTAATTTAAACTAAAACTCCATTATTTAAAAAAATAGATATTTTTTTTTAGAGGTAAGTTTACATTTTATACTAAATCAATTTAATTTTTTTTAATTACGATAGATTATTAAAATTAGTGATGGAAAAAAAAAAATTAACTTTTTTAAAAAATACTACGAATAACACAGATTCCCAAAAAAAATAATTTTAAATAATTAATTTAAAATAATCAATAATAAACTTATTAATAAATAACAAAAAATTAATCGATGAATAATTATTAATTAATTTTAAATACGTAAAAATGAGTTAGTTTATTTTCACATCACCATTTTAAATTTTTTTATTTATTTATTTTTTTCATTATTTATTTATTTTGCTGTTTGTGTGTGTGTGTGTGGGGGGGGGGGCGAGTGTAAATTAATTTCTTTTCAGGTTGTTTTATTTTTTTTATTTGCCTTAACTTTCTTGCCACAAAAAAAAAAAAATTATATTAAAAATTAAAAGACATAATTTTACTAATTTTATAATAATTACATCAAATAATTTTTTTTATGTATAAATGATGAAATCGTAGAACGTTTTTTTTTTTTTTTTTTTATTGTTTTAATTATTATTTATTACGAGAGCTTTTCAAACGTATTACCGTGTTTTTAATTAAAAAAAAAAAATATTTATAAATTTTTATTTAAAAAAATTTGTAATTTATAATTTAAGTAATTATATAAATAAAATGCTTTGTTTGCCAAAGAATTTTTTTATTAAATATTATTATTATTAATATTATTATATTTAATAATTTAAATTTTTTTTCTTTTTGTGATATAAAAAAATATTGGATAAAGTAAATTTTATTATTATTATTATTATAATAGGAATTTAATAATTATGTTTGTTTAATTTTTTTTTTTGTTGTACCATCGTTTCACCAACGTTTTGATATTAATTAATATTTAAAATTAGTTTGAATAGGGTTTTTTTGGATTTCCGTTTCCGGAAACGTTTTCAATTAATGTTATATAATTATTATTTCACATAGAGTTTGTTATATTTTGTGCAAACATATATTTTTTATTTCGAAAAAAAAAATGGATAATTTATATGACATTGTCATCACGTTGGTCGTTCACAATATGAAGAAGGATTTATTTGGGTTGGATCGCAAGTTGCGTTGCAACACGTATCATCATCATCTACAACTTCCATATAATAATTCGGTCCTTCGCATTCTTCTTGCAGAAGAACATTCGAAGGAGTAAGAGGTTTACAAATAAACCTCTGCGGATTTTGCGGTGGAATGTTTTCGTTTGAAAATACGCACTCTCTCGGTTGAGCGCAACAACTTTCGGAATAAAATATTCTTTTAATTAAATTTTTTTTATTGCAACAACCGTATTCGCATGTGTACAAGAGACAGGGAATGAGACACACGCAGTTGGAGTATTTAAAGAGCCAATAAGCGTATACGAACCAAAGGAGACTAAAAAACAAAAGACACACGACGAATATGTGCCAAGCGGTTATCATGTGATCGGGTCCTATCCAACATTCGTATTTAGAATGTATTATCATATCTATAAAACAATTGGCATAAAATGGTAGATAACGGAAAAAATAAATCAAACCAATTATTAAATAGATAATTGTAAATAAAATTATAAATACTGCAAGACATTTAACGGAAATCGGTCGCCTTATTAACAACAGGGAAATCACAGCAACTGAAAACAAATACGAAATAATTTTTTTTAAAATACTTAATCCGATGATGATGATGATGATAATCGATGATGACGAAAACAAAATTAGTTAAATGACGTCTTACTTGCTATAGCAATAAAAATAAAATTAAATATCATAAACCAAGCGTTAATTTTTTTATCGTAATTTATGTAATCGGACGTTCCGACCAATATGAGTCCCACTAATCCATGTATTGCAGAATGAAGGGCTATAAATCGAATTAAAGATACTATATAAAACATTTAACGGAATTTTATGTTTCTTTAATAATAATAATATTAATAATTCGTTTATATAATAATGATAAACAAACATATTTCGTAGAAATATTCGATTAATAAATACGTTGAAAACATTTTTATTTGTTTACAATCGTGGGTTAGTCATTTAACGATAGCAAAATCGGGAATTTCAACCGCCGCAAAACCGTTTCACCCCCGCCTTGGTGACGTCATTATAATTTTAAATTAACGGAAATTTAACGTGAAATCGTACGTTATAATTATTCGATATCATTTTTGGAAGGTTTTTATTTTTTTAACGACGAAATCGAATTGAAAAATTCGTTAAATGTTGTAATAAAATACGTAATAATATGAATAAAAACTTGAAATAAATAAATTTTACCCAACGCGATTGATATCGTCGATTATAATCAAATATGGCGAACCTGGTTTCTTATCTAATGATATGTAATACTAAATTATATTTTGATAATATATTAACCGAAGAAAATATATATCACTTATATTATTATTTATATATGTATATTTTAAAATGAAAAATACATTTGTTAGAAGTAAGTTTTCTTTTTCTGCCATATAAATATTCTGTTAAAAGTTTCAACGATCGGTCACGTAATTCGTAATGATTATAAATAGAAAAAAAGAAAAAATTTCGTTGTATTATTATTATTATTATTTATTTTTTAAAATTTATTTTTTAGAAAAACTTAAAACAAACCTTTTACATTTCTTTTCATCTTTTTTATTTCCACATACTCCGGTTGTAGTGGTAGCGCACGGAGGCTTGGAAGGTGCCGACGTACACGGAGTACGAGTTTGTACTCCGGCACGAGTGGATTGACAAGGTGTTGTCGGGCAATACGTCGGAAAGTATCCAGGCGGCGGAGGAGGAGGTGGAGGTGGCGGATTCGTTGTCATACCAGATCTATAACAAGATGGTGGACAGACAGTATAATCGGCTTCCATAGGAGGCGGAGGAGGAGGAGGAGGAGGTGGCGGCGGCGGTGGTGGTGGCATCTGCATCTGTTGCGGCGGAGGATTTTGTAAGGGTCGCAAACAAGCCGGCGGACAAGGCTGCTGAGGATACTCAGCTTCCATGGGAGGAGGCTGACAACATTTGGGTTTTGGCGGAGGCGGTGGCTCAGGTGGAGGACAAGCGGACAAATTTACCGGTGGCGCAGGACAACATCTTCCCCGACTTAAAAACTTAGCAATGGGTCCTTTTTTCTTTTTGCAAAGCGATGGAGTTGGATCGCAAACGTTTTCGCACGCGTAAGACGGACAGGGTACGAGACAAACGCATTTTGCATTCTTATATAAAAGCGTTGCAAAACATATCCAAAGGAGGAAAAATATTAAGAGAAGACAAGTTATTATGTGCCATATGGTAAAATTACTCTCAGGTCCGACCCAACATCTCATTCTAAAATAAAAGAAAATTTTATCCAGCCAAGAATTGGCATAAAAGTGCATGTAATGACCCAAATATAAAATCCCGGCTGCAAATCCTATCAATGCATTTATAACAAACAAAAGTGCTGCCAGACGTACGTATTTTGGATCTCTTGTTTTCAGCGTAAATATTAAAAGAACTAAAACAAACGGGAAAAAAAATTTTTTAATTATTTTCCAATACAACAATCGTATTCCGATTCAACAAAATATGTAATATGTTTAATAAAACAACAACAACAACCAAACCTTTTTGTTTTGTTTCACATATTCTCTCATTTAAACAATATTTAAAATTTTTTTTTTTTTGATTTTATTATATAAATAACGTCATCATTTTTTTTCCCACCACGTAATGACGGACTATATTTATACGAGTACTGATAACGTTATCAATAAACAAAGAAACAAACTCACCTCCGAGTATGTATAACATGACGTGTGGTATAATAAATAAAGTATTAAGAAAACTAGAATGATTTGCATATAATGATGTGGATACAAATGCGATCCCTATCGTTCCTTGCATGAATGCAATTATGACAAGAATCCATACCAATCGTACGACAAACAACATTTCATTCGTTTATTTTATTTATTTACTTATAAAATTTTTATTATTTTTATTTTTTAAAAAAAAAAATTATAGGATCACGTGAAAAAATTCATAATAATAAATAATAATAATAAATCAAAAAATTAATAAAATACGTGTATAAAAAATAAATAATATAAAATTATATACATGTATAAAAAAAAAAAAAAAAAAAAATATTAAAAATTTTTTTCCCCTTTTGTTTGTATACACGTTTGTAGAAACATATTTAAAAACAACTGACGGGTAAATTTTTTTTGTCGCCTTGCAAATGCCTCCTTTATAAATCGAAATGCGTGTAAACCTTTGTTACATAAGTTTTTGAGAAAGAAATTTTCTTTTTTTCCATGAAATTTAAAAGGAAATTTTTCCAGAGGATTTTTAAACGTTTTTAGTGATAACTTCCAGGAAAATCACGTTCGATACAAATTTGAAATGCGATAAAAAAATTTTTTTTTTCTAAATTAACAAACATTAATAATAATAAATGATATCAATGTTAATAATAATTATAATAATTTTATTTTTCCACAGGAGAAGAAAAAAAAAGAAAAAAATTTTTTTAAAAAAGTAAGTTTTTAGTTCCATGCTTTCTACCAATCGTGTCATTAAAAAAAAAAAATGAATGAATATAATTTCCCTGTTAAGTATTTACACAAAACAATCATGTTTGTTTATTATTCAAATTTTCAATTTGATAACGTTTAGATTCGCACACAAACACAATGTCTTTGTATATTTTTTATGTGTTAACTAAAAAATTTTTTAAATAACCGTGAAACAAAACAATTAAAATGCAAATTTTAGGAAAAGTGGTCGCAATCGGAATCGTTCATGCAATTATACATGTACTTGTAGGAATATTTTTTATAAAAACCTCCTATTATGTTAATTATTCAGCTAAAATCAATAACCTTTTTGTTTTTGCACATATTGCTATTTTAGCGGCTGCAAGTATGTTTTATTATTTATTTTATTTATGTAAAACATTAATTGTCGTTAAAGATGTGTGTGTGTGTGTGTGTGTGTGTGGGTATCACTTTGTAATGATTAAATTTAAACAACATCAAAGTGTTGTGTACAAATTAAAAAATTATTTTATTTATGTTAAAATCACATTATCATAAGAAATTATTATTTATTTGATTACAGTGTTTAGCATGTGCGGAATCCTGTGGAGAAATCCCGGATGCGTACGTTTATTTGCCATCATATGGGCAGTTGTAATAATTGGATATTTTGGAATTGGATTTTGGTATTTTTGTCGATACATGCGTTTTCATGCAAATTCAATATTGGACGGATTTTTTTTTTATTCAAACAATTATTGTTTTGTTGGACCGGATGCTATTTTAACAATTTGGCACATACTTACTCTCGCATTGATTATTTTAAATTTATTAATGCTTTTTTACGTTGCTTATCTCCTTAAATATGCGCACTGCGTTTGTTTTATTCCTTGCAGTCCGAATCCTTGTTTGAAACCACCTCGTCCATCGACTCCGAATTGTTGTAAAAAGAAACCGTGGATCAAAAGATTTTTAGAGCCTTCCCAATGTTGTCCACCTACTAAAATGATTCCTCAGTGTCCGCCACCTTGTCCTCAAAAACCCTGTCCCGTTCCGTGTCCGAGAATCAATGTGGAATTCATTCCGATTCCGGGTTCTCAAAAACTTGCTTGCCCCGATAGATCGGACCCGAATCGTCAATTGCCTATGGGTCAGCAACCTCCACAAACTCAATCTCAACCCCAATTACAAACGCAGCCGTATCAAACCCAAGTGCAAACGAATCCTCAATATCAAACTCAACCCCAATATCAAAACCAATCTCAAACCCAATTACAATCCCAATCGCAATCACAACTTCAATATCAAACCCGTCCCCAAACGCAACCGCAATATCAATCCCAAACGCAACCCCAATATCAGACCCAGGCACAACCCCAATATCAGACCCAGGCACAACCCCAATATCAGACTCAGACACAACCCCAATATCAGACCCAAACGCAACCTCAATATCAGACCCAAACGCAACCCCAATATCAGACCCAAACGCAACCTCAATACCAAACCCAAACGCAACCTCAATATCAGACCCAGTCACAATACAATACCCAATATCAATCTCAAACACAGCCTCAATATCAGTCCCAATCGCAAACTCAAATTCAATATCAACCCCAGGGCCAATGTCAGCAGCAGCAGGTTACAAAATGTTGTTCTCAGCAAAAAACAGTGAGCACCCCTTATAATCCAAACGACGGTTATTGCGGCACCTGCTCACCTCAAGATGTATGTTCAAAACCACCTTCCAACTTACCTCCCTGTTCGCCTCCTGGTCCAACTTCTTGCTCAGTTCCTTGTTCTTCTGTTAGTCAACCTTCCGATCGACAATATATACAACAAACTACAACAAACAAAGGAAAGAAAAAAAAAGTTGTACTAACTTTAGGTTCAAAATTTTGTAACAAGTTATGAATAATAATAATTATTATTATTATTTGTAACATTAAATTGCATGATATTCATGTGTGTTAGCACGTAAGAAATATACAAGGAGACAAAATCAAAAAAATACAAACGTATATTTTACATACGGCTGAAATAAATAATTATTATTATTATTATTTTTTAAAAAAAATTTTAAGTGAAAAAAAAAAATTATTTATTTATTTTTATTTATTTTATATACAATTTTTTTATATAATTTTTATTTGTATATTTATTTTTTGTTTAAAATAAAAAATAATAATAATAATAAATTCTACAATGTTTTATGTTTTTTTTTTTTTTTTTTTTCAATTTGTTTCAGATTCCTGTAAAAAAAAAAATATGGGAGAAAAATCATTTGGCCGTGATTTTGTGATTTCAAAAAAAAAAAAAAAAAATTTTCAAACGAAAATTTCGCACGTTAAATAATAATAATAATAATAATAATTTTTTTTTGTAGAATCTATAAAATTTATAGCCTTTTACAGCAAATAAATATATTATTTTTTGTGTCAATAATAATAATAATTAGAATTAAATAAGTTGGCATGCGCGTTTACGTCATGTATTCTTATTTAAATTAATTTTAATAATTTTATTTTACAATTTAGTTATAAGTTATAATTATCCAAAAGTTTGGAAATTTAGTCTACTTTATTCTAATATAATTAGTTTTTTTATTATTTATTATTTATTTTACTCTTTAAATTCTTGGATCTTATGTTTTTCTAATACATCAGAGCAAATTTTTCGATATTATCACTGTAAAATTATGATTTTAAGCGAGAATCCACTGTTTACATTTATTTCAAGCGGGAAGTCAATGTTTATATTTTATTCAAGCGGGAATCCAATGTTGCATTTTATTTTACTCTATACCTCTTTGGATATTATGTTTTTCTGATACATCAGAGCAAATTTTTCGATATTTTTAGTGAAAAATGACCTTTTTAGGCGGGAATCCACTGTTTACATTTTATTTTTGCGGGAACCCAATGTTCACATTTTATTTCAAGCGGGAATTCAATGTTAACATTTTATTTTACTTTATACCTCCTTGAATCTTATGTTTTTCTAATACATCAGAGCAAATTTTTCGATATTATCACTGTAAAATTATGATTTTAAGCGAGAATCCACTGTTTACATTTATTTCAAGCGGGAAGTCAATGTTTACATTTTATTCAAGCGGGAATCCAATGTTGCATTTTATTTTACTCTATACCTCCTTCGATATTATGTTTTTCTGATACATCAGAGCAAATTTTTCGATATTTTTAGTGAAAAATGACCTTTTTAGGCGGGAATCCACTGTTTACATTTTATTTTTGCGGGAACCCAATGTTCACATTTTATTTCAAGCGGGAATTCAATGTTAACATTTTATTTTACTTTATACCTCCTTGAATCTTATGTTTTTCTAATACATCAGAGCAAATTTTTCGATATTATCACTGTAAAATTATGATTTTAAGCGAGAATCCACTGTTTACATTTATTTCAAGCGGGAAGTCAATGTTTACATTTTATTCAAGCGGGAATCCAATGTTGCATTTTATTTTACTCTATACCTCCTTCGATATTATGTTTTTCTGATACATCAGAGCAAATTTTTCGATATTTTTAGTGAAAAATGACCTTTTTAGGCGGGAATCCACTGTTTACATTTTATTTTTGCGGGAACCCAATGTTCACATTTTATTTCAAGCGGGAATTCAATGTTAACATTTTATTTTACTTTATACCTCCTTGAATCTTATGTTTTTCTAATACATCAGAGCAAATTTTTCGATATTTTTATAGTAAAATTTCAATTAAGATTAGAAAAATTTAACTGCGTTTAGATCACTTAAGTTCATCGGTCCAAAATTGTAATTTGTATACTGTGCATAAATTAAGGATGAAACGCATGAGGGAAAATTATGAAATGGGAAAATAGTAGCAAAATTAAGTATTGAAATAGTTCTTGAGGAAAAAGTTTTATGATGTCTGATTCATAATTGTAATAGAGCGAAATGAGAACAAGATAAAGACAGAACCAAAACAAATCTTTTTCTATTGTTGACCTGAGTAAGCTTTTGACAAGATTGTGAATATCAATTTTCCTCTTCCTGGCCAATCCACAGATGTCAGTCGCTAAAGCCCAGATAACTCGTTTCCAGCACATAAGCACATCCAGGAGTTTTAGTTGGGTAGTGGCTTCGGCTGAGCCCCACACTCCTCCTACTACCGGGCGGGGAGATTTCTTTGGGTTAACAAAAAAAAAAAAAAACGCGGGAGAAAAAAAGCCTTCTCGACAGTGCGATAGGGCGTCGCATACTTACACGTAATAAAAATCGCGGAGGTTTTGATATTTAAAAAATTAAACGTTACAAATGGCGATACTCAAATATGACGAATATTGTTGTTGTAAACTATTACCCATTTTATTTGGAACGTATTTAATTGCGTTGCATTGTTTTCTTCATGGCATTTACGGAGCTTGTTTGGTCAAGAGTTCGTTTTATAAAAGGTCGAGCGAAACAATTAATTTAATAGCCGCAATTTCGAGTCTTCTTTACGTTCCAGCAGGACGTGAGTATCAAAATCATTCTATCGATATCCAAAACATACAATTCACAGTTGTAATTTGTGTTATTATTGTTTTTTCGTTTCATTTCAGTTTGTATTTTTTGGACGGCTTTATATAAAAGTCATAAAGTGTCATTTATATGCGGATGGCTTGTATTAATAATAAGCATTTTTAGCACACTATCATTTTTAATATATTTTTTTCGTTATATTTATTTCGAAGCAAATTCATTACTTGATTCGATATTATTTTGGACTTCGAGCGATCAATGGGTCGATCACAGAGAACTTCCATTTACCTTTTGGCATTTGTTAACCATTTTATACGTAATTGTTAATTCATTAGGATTCTATTATTCTTTCATGTTGTACAAAGCTGCTAAAATATTTAAAGCTGAAAAACAAGACATAGATTTAGATTTTATTCAGTGAATCCAACTGATACATATGTATATGTATACATAAATATACGATCACTTGTAAAAAAAATAAAAATTATATTTATAATATCCTACGGATGATGGACTATTTTTGATAGAAATTTTAAATAAAATTTATTAATAAATAATTTATAAAAAGCATAGTCACAGAAGTCTTTATTTATTTATTTTGAAAATAATTTTTTTTTTTTTATTTAAATTTTTAGTCATACAAACAAATATTTATTTAATTTTATACAGTGGCTTATTTATTACGCTCCTGTATAAAATTTCACAATAAGAAAACATTTAAAAAAAAAAAAAATCTACAAGAATACTTTTTTTATTTTTTCATTTTGTAAAATTTATTTATTTATTTTTATACATTATATAAAAGTCTTTGATTGCGAAGAAAAAAGGCGCTCGCTACGCCACTGTTTTTTTTATTTTTTTTTAATAAGCATTAATTTTTTCTAAATAAAAAAAGATATGTACGCATTTAACGGGGGGGGGGGGGAGGAAATTTTCAACACAAGAAAAAGCTAATCAGATAAAGAGAGAGAGAAAGAGTGAAAAAAAAATTTTGTTTTTTTATATATTATTAACTTATTAAAATTTTTACATCTTTCATAATTATTATTACTATTTTTTCAGTCCATTATATTTTAAGTACTTATTAAAATAATATCGAATAATTAATTTCGGGTTGTTAATAATAATAATAATAATAATAATAATAATTAATGCTTAATAACATTATTAAAATAAAAAAAAATTTTCTTTTTTTTCCATTAATACGCGACGTAAAGTCTTTTAAAAAAAAAGAGGTTCAAGTTGGTGAGCTTAATTTATTATTTTTTACTAATTAACGGTTATTGATTTTATTTTATTTTACTCTTACTTTTTAATGTATTTTTTCAATCGAAAACAAAAAAAAAAATGTACGCAGCAATTTTACGCCTGTGTTAAAAAAATAAATAAATAAATTTTAATTTTTTTTTTTACCCGTGTTCATATACAAATTCGTATGATTTTATATATATAATATTGAGAAAAAAAATTATAACAATAAAATTAATTCCAAAGCTTTCCACTTCCGTTAAAAGCGGTAGCACTTGTCACATAAAATTTTATTACTCTATGACAAAATGATAAATGTAAACAATAATTTTTTTTTTTTTTTAAAAACATTTAAAAATCCTTTTAAAATTTAAAAAAAAAAAAAAAAATTATTTTATCATCATTATCATCATTATTATTATTATCGTTATTGCTTTTTCTTATTGATAAAAATAAAGAAAAGAAAAGAAAATAGTTTTTCTTTGTTAATAATTTATTAATTACAGAAATAAAATTTAACAAAAAAAATCTTTACTCTCGCAATAGACAATCAATAAGTTATTATTATTATTAGTATTATTATTATCATTATTTAATAATTTAATTTTTAAACTATTTATTTATAATAGTCTAAATTTAAAAAAAAATAAATAAATAAATTTTTTGGTAAATTATTATAATTATTATTAAAATTATACATTTAGAATTATTAAAAAAATAAATTAGAGAGAGAGAGAAAGACAGAGACACAAAAACGTTTAATGATAATAATAATAATAGTAAGAAAAATCATTCATTATTAATTTTTTTTTTTTTTTTTTTTGACTTTCAATTATTAATTGGCACCACACACAAAATTTTTTTGCTTTTGTTACGTATATAATAGAACGTGTTATAAAAAAAAAAAAAAAAAATTTTCTCATCAGTCGATATTGATAATTTTAATGACGTCATCGTCATCATCATCATTATTATCGCAATGAATCGAACGAGTACCTGTAATAAAAAAATTTCTTGATATTAAATTAAAAAAAACAAAACATTTTTTAGTGTAAAAAAAAAAAACAAAAAAATAAAATACCTGAAATGTTTTGTTGTTGTTGTTCGGTAAAATCGTTTCCGTTTTTTCGATTTTTAATTTCAATTTCCTGTTGGTAAAAAAATAAACAAAAAAAACATTGATAATAAATATAATTTTTTTTTTACAAAACATTTTGATTAAAAAAAAAAATAAAAATTCGAACCTGATAAACAAACAAGTATGATTGTCTTCGCCAATGAACCTCCTCTTCTTCCTCATCAACCTCCTATTACTTCTATTAATTTTGTTTGTTGTTGACACCACGTTCACTTTTTTTTTTTTTTTTATATTCACGTCGTACGAAATCGATAAAAAAAATTTTTTTTTCTTTTTTTCCTTTTTTTATTATACAAAAACATTTAAAATTATTATTAGGAAAAGTCATAAACTACTTTTACGTACACGTACACGCACACGCACACACGCACACGAGGTAAAGTCTTTAAAAAAAAATTTCACTTTTTTATAAGAAAAAATTTACACTCATATATATATATATATATATATATATATATATATATATATATTTATACAATATGAAAAAAAAAATGTTTTTGTTTGTTTGTTTGTTCACAACATCACGATATTAAAAAAGTCAATAGAAAAAAAAATGATAATAATAATTCGAAAATACGTCACTTATACACAAAGGCAACGTTCACAAACCGTTCGGTAGGTATTATTATTAATATTGTTATTTATAAGAAATGGATAGTAAAGAAAAAATATACACACGTAAATATATATATATAAATCAAATTTTTTTGTTTGTTTACAAGTTTCAACAGCGTGTACGACAAATACACGCACTCACGCACGAAGACACACACACGCACACGCATAAACATTTACCGGTTTTATGAAAAAATATAATTTTTAATATTAAAATTTCATTTATTATTATTATCATTACGTTTTTGGCTTTTTTTCCCCCGGGATTTAAAATCACAATTTTTTTATTTGTCTTATCGCGTTAATATTGATAATAATATTGATGATAAGAGTACGAAAATATTGATAAGAGTTTTTTTCCTTCCAGAATTATAAGATGCTGTCATGCTCAAATCGCGTATATCCAATTCTGAAACAAACAATCAACAAAAAAAATTAATTAAGTAACAAACGGGGTTATTTTTTTAATTTTTTTTTCGTTCGTTTGTTTGTTTGTTTATTTCTCTTACGGTTCGGCAAAAAATTAAAACTCCGAATGTTAATTCGCATGCAAAATAAAACAAAAAAAAAAAAAATAATGATGAACTAACCGTTAAAATTAGGCGAATTCAAATCTTCTGAACGTTCAGAAAACTCTGTGTGAGAGAAAGAAAAAAAAATAAAAAATGATAAAAAAAATGATAATGATAATGATAAAATGATAAAATTAAAAAAATAATTTTAATATATAGGAATCATGCAAAAATATTTTCTTTTTTATACGAATAATAAAATAAAAAATAAACGATTCGTTGTTATTATTATTATTATTATTATTATTATTATTCTACACAATATACACCGATCAAGCTCACGAATTAACGTAATCTATATTAAATTATATATATAAATACTAAATTATATATATATAAAAAAAAAATTTTTTTTTTTTAACATGCAACAAAGCAATTAAAAATAATTTTTTTCCCTCCATCCTCCTTTTTTATTATTTTCTTTTAATTTTGCAAAAAAAAAAAAAAAGAATTGGGGGAGGAGTGGGGGAAGGGGGGCCCGGGAGTTAGTGGCGTGCTCCTATAATCCAGCTACTTGGAGGACGAGTGCAGCGGATGACTCTGATCGTGTAATTCGGATCCTACTTGTTGCACATTCTTTTAAAACGGTCGACGGGACACCTGACCCAGTGTTTCCGCCGGCCAACAGGGTATTTAGGGACTTGTTCCCGATGCGCGGAGGTTGAGAACCATTTTCCCCGATCGCAGACGAAGAGTCAGACCTGTACCTTACCAACCTTCCGGGGAGAAAAAGAGTGTGGGACCCGGAACTTTTCTTTCAGGGTTCATCATCCTGCTCCGGGAAAAGGGGGTGCGAGTGGAGGGACGACGGGGAGATCTTCTTGCGTGGGATGAACGAGACATTCTTCTCGCGGGGGGTCGACTCGTCTCCGGAAACTCGTCATCCTCGGGAGTGGTTCGCATGCTTAAGGACGGTGCGTGCGATTCATTCCAACGGCAGAAGGAAGATGCGAACGAAGATGAAGATCGGAACGACGACAGATCCGACGATTACGACGACGTCGGTGTCCGGTTGGATTCTCGCACTTCGGACTGCAAAAGTCAATTGGACGGCGGCAGGGGCAAAACGCGAACGGACTGTGGGGGATGTTTCGTCGGCCTGGCAAACTCGGAACTTCTCACCGCCTCCGGAAGCTCACTTCGGCTCTGCGGAGGAGGCGGAAACGACGTGGCAGGTCTGAACCGTCTCCCGAGGCACGAGGGAGGAAAGAATTCGTCCCGGTACTCCGAGTCGGGCTCCGGATCTCTTTCTCAATTACGTCGGGAGGAGATTCGTCCCGGCTTCGGTGCGTCGGCGTTCTTCGCGACGGTTGAAGCCTGTAAACTTTCGGTCGTCGCGGGGTCGTCGGGGGGGAACGGGAATTAATGTTTCTGATTTTCAGGTTCATGTCTTTGATCTTTCTCCCATCGTGGTAGCAGTGGCAGGGGCGCACAGGTGAAGGAATCGGGTGGGCCGGTCGGCAGTAGCGAACCCGTCCGGGTCGTTCGGTTCCGGAAGCTCGCGTCTCCTGCGGCGGAGGCGGGAACGACGTGGCAGGTCGTGAACGTCTTCGCAAAAATGAGGTTGAGGGCGCGCGGCGGGCGCGAACCCGCCGTCGTCGGGCGATCTTTCTTCTCGAGGGTCGGCGACCCCGGTCGACTCCTCTTCTATCCCCCTTTCTATTCCCCACACCGATAGGGAGGATGCGATCAAATAACTCTTTACTTTAATCTTTTTACCCCTTTTCAAGTGACGTGGTAAGTCTCAATCCTCAGCCCCAATCGCATCCTCAGGAAACAGGCGCGATTCCCGTCCAATTCCTCACAGCGAGGGACCGGAGGACACTCCCGAAAGGGACTGCCGAACGTCCCGGGAGGTGCGTTCTCATCTTCGAGGCGGAGATGAAACGGAGATTAGGGCGGACCTCCCCAAATGCAATCATGTGGAACGGCTAACGTTCTGACATACCGGAGAGGGGAGACTGAAATGTAGGTTATACTTCCACGAGCGTCTCCCCCCCCCTTTCCATACAGGTCACGCTTTAGCGACATGCCCAGGAGTTTTAGTGGGTAGGGGTCCCCGTGTAGGCTTTCTTTCGATTCCAAACCGACCCCCACACTCCCTCTGTAGCAGGAGGGGTTGTGCGTAACTCGCATGGGTCAACAAAAAAAAAGGGGGTGTGGGAAAGCGGCGTGCACGCACAAACGAACGCCGTAGTAATAATATTATTATTATTAACAATAATAATAGTAATGATGATAATAATTTTTTTATTCTCACCTGATCCTCTCGTTGAAAAATGAAATTGTTCGGATAATTCGTTCCAACCGAATCTATTACGTGCTCGAACTCTTGCTTCGTATTGACTTCCGGGTTCTAAACCTCTTATTACGTAAGACATTTGCTGTGTGAATAATTCGCTTGGAATTGCTGGAAGTATGACGTCACTCCAGTCGCCTCGTCCTAATTGATTAGACGTTTCGTTTTCTTGAAACGTCGATGGGTACTGAAATTATAAAATTTTGATTTTTTTTTTAAACTAAAGATAAAAAAAATCCGTTGTAGAGCTGTAACGGAATTTTGATATTATTATTATTATTATATCATGAAAATTTCTTTCTACACAATCTGCGTCTGGAAAATTCTAATCCCACGTTCAAAACTTAATATTTATTACCGAAAGAATTAAGTTAAATTTATCAAAACCGTTCCAGATGCCAAATATATATATATAAATATAACGAATGTTTCGATATTGCAAAACTAAAACTTACTCAACTAAATCCGACTAAAACTAAAACTAAAAAAAAAACTATAATAACTACAAACGGTCATTAAATTTATAAAAAAAAAAACAATAATAATAATAATGATAATAAATCTATTTTGACGATATCAAAAAAAAAAAAAAAGAAAAAAAAGAAATTTATTGATCCGATTAAGTTAAAAATTTATTTATTTATTTTTATTTTTTTTGTTTTTTACGGTTGTTGTTGTTGTTGTTGGTTGTTGGTTGTTTTTTAAGCTCTTAAAATAAATAAAATAAAATATATAAATAAAAAATAAAAAAATAAAAAAAAATATATATATAAAGTCTCGAAAAAAAAAAATTAAAACTAAAGATAAAAATAATTAACTGGAAAATTCCAGTAAATTTATTATTATTATTATTATTATTTTCTTTTTCGAGACTTTTAAAATTTGATCGTCATTTTATACATTTATATCAAAAAAAAAAAAGAAGAAATTATGGCGATAACAAAAAAAAAAAAAGGAAACGAAAAAAAAAGATAAAAAAAAAATTTTCCAGACTCCAAAAAAAAAAAAAAAATTATTTGAGTTTAAACAAAAAAAAAAAAAAAGGTAAAGATAAAGAAAAAGAAAAGGAAAAAGAAAAAAGGAAAAGGGTTAAAAATAGTAAAAAAAAAAAAAAAAACAAATTTTGGAAAAAACGAGAGAGAGAGAGAGAAAAAAAAGGCTGGAAATTTTTTTAAAAAAAATCTTGTAGTAGTTGTAACAAGAGTAGAAACTGGAGAAACTGGAGAAAAACCTTTTTTTTTTGTTATGTTTCCTAATCTTTTTTACACGGCCTATAAAAACACGAAAGGAAAAAAAAAATTTTTTTTTCTTCTGCTTCTTTTATTTTCTTTTGTTTATTTAATCGTAAAAGAAAAAAAGAAAACAAAAATTACTTTGCTGTCGTCGGAATAATATTTAAAACCTAACAGCACGTTTTTCCCCTTCTCCTTCACTCCTCTCCTCTCCCCTTTTTCTTCCCTTTTTTTTTTCTTAAAACCTTTTTTTGTTTTTGGTCAAAAAAAAAATTAGCCGGAGTCTAATTGATTGATGTAAGTTTTTTTTGTGTGTGTTTCATTTCCGGTAAATTTTTTTTTAAACTCGAAAATTTCGTTTTTATTGTCTTTCTAAAAAGGTTTTTAATTTTTACACGACAGGAAAGGGAAGGAGATTTAACATTTTGGAATTCCCGAATGCGAAATGCCTCCTGTTTTTTTTTTTTTTTTTTTTCTTCTATGCGGATAGTTTATCTTCTTCACCGTTTGTTGTTTCACTTTCCTTTTGGGAATTTTCTTTCTTTTTTTTTTTTTAACTTTTTTTAAAGTTAACAAAAAAAAAAAAAAACAGTAAAAAATTTTTCTTTTTTTTTTCTAACTTTTTTTTTTTTAAATGGACGAATCGAATAGGAGAAAGAATCAGAGAAAGGAAGAGAGAGAGAGGGGGGGGAAGGAAAAAAAGATGGAAAAATATTTCCCTTTCGGGAAATCCAGGGTCCGACTACAACAACTACAACAACAGCAGCAACAGCAAAAAAAAAACAAATAAATTCGTTCAAGATTTTAAAATCAAAAAAAAAAAAAAACTTTTGGAAAATTTTTTTTTTCTTCTTTCTTTCTTTCTCTTCTGTTACATGAAAAAATTGTAGTTTAAAGTTTTTAGTATATTTATTAAATATTATTTCAACTACTTTTTAATGACGTTACTCAAACACTACAATAGTAGATATAATAGTAGACAATAACCACAAAAAAAAAAGAAAATTTTCGTTTCCGGTAACGTTTGAGGTACGGTTAAGCGTGGGAGTAAATTTAAAAAAAAAAAAAATTTCGCATCGATACTCACTGGAATCAATGACGTACACGTACGTACGTATGCACGTACGCACGTGCACGCACAGGGAAAAATAAACTCGATGGAAATGGAGAAAAAAAAAAAATTTCTTTTTTTCGTTTTCTTATTACGTTTTTCTTTTTTCCTATTTTTTTTCCTCTTATTTTTCACTGTCATTTTTGTATATTTTTCTGTCTTTTACAATTTCAAATTCCTATCGTGACAAGAAAAAAAGTTTTGTTTTGTTTCTCTCTATCTCTCTCTCTCTCTCCTTTTTTTTCCTTTTTTTATTCAAAATGATTTCATTCACTTTAAAACTTCAAGAAAACAAAAAAAAAAAAAAGACAAAAAATTGAAAAAAAAAAACAAAAAAATTTATTTTTTAAGTAATTTGATGTGGCAACGAAAAAAAAAGCAGAAGAAATTGTCGCCGTTTTTCAACTTTATGAACGTATAAATTTTAATAAAAAAAAGTAGGAGAAAAAGAAAAGACATGAAACCAGATTTTTTTTTTT